ATACCATTAAACCATTGGGGATCGATCCAATGGCCCACGAATTCTAATTTCTGCCAATTCACGACATGGCGCGACCCCAGCCAATGTCTTCGGGGAGTATTTGTCCTCACATCCGACCTACTGCACTCTACTGGTCACGACTTCGCACTAGAACCCCAGGTAAATACCTACCTGAATAGGGCCAGTCGCTAGTGAGCATCTCATATTCAGCCAAAGACATTGGCTGGGGTCGCGCTATGTCGTGACTTGGCAGAAGTTAGAACTCGTGGGCCATTGGATCGGGTCCCAGTGGTTTAATGGTATACGAGCTTGCTTTGTAACCAGAAGGTCCTGGGTTCGAATCCCGGTGGGTGTGTGCTGATGAAGAGTCACAAACTAGGACGAAACAGCTGTCCAGTACTCCCAGGTTTTCCAATGGTTCTCTAACTAATGTCAGCTCATCATGAAAATCTTGTAACAAATATTTGTATTCTTTGCCAAGTCAACTTTTCACTATTATATAGCATTCTCACGCCGGTTGGTACTGTTACTTTTAAGACAAAATAACTCTCATCTTTTTTCTGTTTAACTAAGTGTTACTGTTTACACGCCTACATTTTTACCTAAATTATATAAATTTATGAATTGGGAATTAAAAGACATTAGTAGCAGCTCTCTGAAAAAGCTTCCATAAATATTATCATTCAGAGTAGATATAATCGATAGATTTCACTCCACATAATTAAGGCTACACAGGTATTCTTCAATGACTGCTTCATATGCATAATGTTTTCATACAAGTGATAAGTCTTTAACTTCGATAGCTTAATGGATAAATTTGTGACTTTGATACTTAGGTTGCAGACAAGACTTATTGATGGATACAAACAAACCTAAGACCTAACTTTCCCTGTTTCCTGCTAATCAGTTTCTTCCCATATCTAACATAAATGCGTCCATCTAAAGGAGGAATAACACCTAATGTGCATAAAGATAGCATTGAGACAGTATCTAGCAATGAATAGGTTATTGCAGTTACCAATTAATTATTGTTACAACTGATATATTGCGAAAAGCGTACAGCACATTTACACTGAATTTTAGACATGCAATAGAGTTTTATCAAATGATCATGGATACTCAATAAGTTTTAAGTGGCAAAAAACGATACTACAATACAAGTTACTGACAGGACCAGGTATTTTTAGATCTATATGCAAAATGAGAAGGAAGGGTGCAGTGAGAAAAAGTGTACAGTGAAGTGAAATTTGATACCTCTTTGACAAAAATAGCTATGTCAATATTTTTTACGATTGATTGCAAGTAGAAATTTACCAAGAATTTCTTCATATCAGGTAGGTTTACTAAAAGCTGGTTTACTCCAGCTTTACTAGCAGAACACAAATCTTACCTTAAGACGTCTAGAGTACAATAATGTGGTATTGTGTGCATTTGGAACACAGTATGTTTAAGCTAAAGGAATTTTAAAGCTTGTATCAGGTTATTTGAAATTGGATTCGCGCTGAGACCGTTGAGTGACGTCATACACTAGGACCTTGAGTGCGACCCGAATGAAAGGCGACGGCTTTGGCTTCCAAAGTTGACACAGAGATCATGTGAGGTGGAAATTAAAGCTTGTAGGCATTCATGGAGCAGGTTGAAAGTAATGACACAGAATTGAGTGCAACGGAGATGTGGCACTGAAGCCTATCTTTGACTCAGAAGCCGAGGAACGAATAATAATAATGCAGTAATAGTGTGCAGCGAAATCGTTGAAGAGATATCTCTACTAAAATTCTGATTTCTTCCCTCTAATATCTTGATGGGTATTTTCCAACGATTAAAAAAATTCTCAGCATACTCCTTTATCGCTTATTCAAAATGACACTAAAAACCTATTTTCAAAATTTAATTTTGGGATTCTTTCTTTCAAATTCCTGCATCAGAGAAACACTAATAAAGGCAAGATAATTTTCTCCATCAGTTTGGGAATAACAGTTAGTTTTGACACCAATTTGACAGATAAACATCAACACAAAATCTTACATAGAGGTGCATCAGCTCAATCTACCAAACTTTGAGATCACACATACATACAGGACAGAACAGGTTTTGAATGCTACTATTCTGAATAGGTTTGCTTTAGAAGAAGAATTTTAGACCGAAACAATCAATACTTTTAAGATAATAAGGAGTGAATAATTCTATGTCATTGTGAATGATTTTAAATCTTTGCAATCTGGGTATACATTCTCTAAATGAACCATACAGTTTGTAGTACAGTTAACTAATATGGACCTAGAGTTTATCCTTAATGTACAACGGTACAATCCACCAGTTGAAGGTACGTTTCATTTCATATTTTCAATTTTTATCCCACAATGCAGCATCCAGTATAATACGTGTGTAGTATCAGTTGGAAGAATACAGAAAATTAGTTGACGATCACAAATGCTTTAATTAATAGACTGTCATAATTGTTCATGTGGTGCTAAATGGCAGTGAATGTGAAGTAAAAACTATTATCATAATTATATACTATCGAATAAGGTAGAAATTGATTTTCCTATTTTTATAAAAAAAACAATGTATATATTTCATGTTAAGTCAGAAAATAGTACGATTTAACGGATAAGGAAAGGAGCATTAGAAATTACGAGATTTCTGTTAGAAATCTAGATATCTATTGACTTGAAAGCACTGGATCGATTGACCGTGCCCTAAGTTAACTTAATAAACAATCATATGAAATTAAATGGAAATCAGGATTGTTGTGCTTTCAAGTTATTAAACCGTTGTAATTAATCTATGTATGTGCAGTTGGACTGACGGCTTTTAGACAATGAAGTCAGCTTGTCTGTTTTCAACCCACCAACTTACTTTTCGGTACGAAAAATAACACCATTTACTTTGTTATAATGAGTGATTTAACGGAAGATGTTTGGAGGCAGTCAGCAGCACTTTCTGTACCTATATTTTGTGGATACTAGCGTTCGTTAACAAAGCCTATCTACAAACCTACTTAAACTCGAACTCGTTTACTAAATGGTAAGGTGTCCAGAATCACCTGTCGACTGCCACTGACCATCTAGTGCTTACTCAAAGGTAGTACTGAGGTGGAGAGTCTTTTAGATTAGTAACCATTTCATGAATCGATTGACACAGTTAGTCAACGCCACTAAAGGCAAGACGCATGGTACCAGTTACTCCCTAGTGGCAAATCAATACAATCGGTGACTTGTAACTAGAATTCACTTTATATTTTCATGCATTTCACGTATTTATATCTGCGAAATTCCACACATTAATTAGTAAGGTAAAATAAAAAAAATTGGTTGTTTGATGATAGCCGTAATTTCGTAATGATTTCTGGTTGTAAGAAACAGTGGACATGATTTTTTCTCTTCTGATTCCTTTTTAATCATTTCATACTGCTGCTGATTTTAAGCCGTAAGCATTTCATGAAATGGAGACACTAGAAACAAAGTTGTCAATAGCATTCTTGGCACTATCTTTAGTAAAGAAAAATGAAGTACACCTAAGGCTTTAAGAAACAATCATTTAGAAACTGAGTTTGTTTACGTAACGAGTCATACACAGAAATGCTGAAGGAGCATAATTAGAACTTCTAAAATTCTTTAACCCTGTTGTGCTACATCTTCACGTATTTTTCTGGGATATCTTTTGTGTCTAAGATCCTTTTGATGCCAACGACAGCCAAAAGATTAACTCTATCCTAATCAGACGTGCCTTCTGGAGACAATACTTTAGACGTCTGGTAATCTAACTAGATGAGTGAACAAAGGTGAAGATACTATAGCAGTTGTCAACAGAAGATTGAAGACGTCACAAGGCAGAACGTATCCTGCAGTTAAGGTGGTTCCCGTCTGTCGAACAACTTACCCTTTGATGCAATCAAAAATCGACAGATATCCTTCTCATGTTAACTCCAACTGTTTATACAGATTCACAAGTATCTGTGGCGGCAGTTACTTTGGAAGAACAGAAAGAAGGAAATACCTGCGGTTTTCTGAATATGTACCAAAAAGCATATGTCTAAAGGGAACAAATACTTTAAACAGTGCCATTGTCAGGCATCACCTTGGCACGGGTCATGAGGTGAACAACGCAAGATCATTCAAAATTATCAATAGGCAAAAGAGTTTAATTCTCCCTAATTTTGCCGAAGCAATTTCTATCAAGCGCCCGAAACCCGACTCATGCGTTCAGAAAGAAGTCTTTCCTTGTCCTGGTAACTGGATATTTTCACCGTCCCTTTCATCCGATTACGTAGTACCGAAAGTTTCCACTGTGTATGATCATTATTGTTTGGGTTAAAGTGTCTGCTATTATTATTATTCTTGTATGCATATATTGTTTGATTTTTGTTTAAAAAGGAACTCTATGGAACAAAACTTGGTTAAACAAAAACTTGGATATATTAAAGTTTTCTCTGTAGATATACTTAATGATGACTTTAGGTTGTAAACAGACGATGAGAACCCAACGAAATAAATAATGGTACCAATTTATTCTGCAAAAGCTGTTGTTCTTGCTTTATTCAAATTCGTTAATTGGAACAAAAATATATGAAGTCATTGATTTATGTTGAAAATTATCCAGAAATCACAATAACAACTTATCAGATTTCGTGTGTAACGCGTTTTGTTTTAGTCCCTGTTGTCATACTTTTTTTTATTATAGTTGAGTAACCTCGAGAGTTTTAGACGCAATGCATATATTGTCTTCATAGATGGAGTTCATATCTATTCACGTATCTGCACTAATATTAGAAGTCAGTAAGAGTGTATGCCATTTTGTGTTAAATTCCCACAAAAATATAATAAAAGACTGCTCTTACTGACACAGTGTAACCGCATATGTTGTTGAATAGCCCACAAGAGATACTGATTCATTAACGGTATCACATTATAGGCGAAATTATAACCCAGTCCTTTGATTTTAATGAAGAATATCTTCAAATTTTTGAGGACAATACGATAAATAGTAATTGAACTCACATTTAAGGTTAATATTTTCAGTGCTTCACATTTTGAAGTAAATGCTTTATGGATTACTTCAAGTTCTGATCTCAAAACAGTACACTCCTGGATAAAGAACAAAAATATTGACAAAACTGACAAGTTGTTTAAAAGAGGAATTTGAGACACAAGCTATAGAAAGACACAAATTGGTAAAAAAGGTCACTAAGGGCATCATTTGTTGTCCGATGAGACCGGTAGATGTAACCATATTTACGTAATATTTTAAATTTAACGTTAATTTTAATGATGAGGAAGATATAAAAGCAGTTATGAAACCTTGATTGTACACCCACGTACTTATAACTGTCAGTGCTACTAATTAACTATGTTTAACTCACATTAACAAAATATTCTGCATCCTTCAGGTGCACAGATATTTTGATTTCACTAAAGTGATAGGTAAATAAGGGGAAGTATTTCCAAAAGACAGCAACTACACACACTGTATTCCCTAGCGACGCTGGAAAGTGGCTTATGGGTCAGTGTAGAGTATTTTGGTCAAGCAGCCCCAAGCTATCTACTCAAATACTGTTTTCATAAATACATATGAAAACCCTTATTCAAGTAAATGACTTGAGTTTACTGGTGAAGAATACTCCTACCAACATCGTAGTTTTACCAAGGCGTAAGTGTCATTAATTAAGTAGAAATAATTCAACAGCTGCAAAGACGAAATAGTTACAGCAACAACATACTATACTGCAATTAATCTATTATTAGATAGCTGAAATTATTTGATTTGAAAAAGTACGCAATCATAACTGCGAACAGTCTGTCCCAAAAATTCTACGAAACATATTATTATGGCCTGATTCCACACAGTATTTTGGTACAACTATGGAATTTACAGCATGTCATATCGGAGGCCCAAATTTAGCAGGCCGATTATTGATATCAGATGTATATCTGCTGGGGATCGAACCACGGGCCATGTGCATGGTCACCGAGCTTCTTAACCGTTGTGCCACCGACTCACAGAGATTGTATGATGGAAAAAATTTATATTTGGATCATTTGAAAATTCAACAGGATTAAGTGGATGGTGGTAAAAACCTACTATCAATTTCAAAAGCATATACCATAGGTTTGTAGGACTTCAATGTAGTTCTATGTCATTCGGCCACTTATTGACAAACAAGGGAAATTTAGCAGTCTATATTCGCTGGAATAACTTATTTGATCTTATTTATAGGATTTGAATAGCATTTCAGATTTAATAGTACGCAAGACCAACTCAGTATCAAAATATCAAACTAACACTAGAACACCGTTATATTCTAAGAATACTTACCAATGAAACAGCATGAAGTCTAGTGTGCAAGTCACGAATAACTTTCTCAGTGTTTTCCAGTAAGTGATTTTGTGCTTTCTCAGTGGCACACAGTAATAAACTGAAACAAAATTCATGCTGACAGACTGGACATCCAAGATCTATTCTCGAAAACAATGACGTGGTATTGCTTGACCAAATATCTGATCTAAAAGCCGAAATGGATTCAGAATCTGGGCTTTTGTTATCTGGATACGAAATACCATTAGATATAGCATAAGAACTGCTGCTATTTCCCGCAAGATTTCGTCCGATCAGTTTATTTATTTGAGGTTCCAGTATCCACATGTGTCGGAATGAACAATACTACAGAAAAGGCCGCAAGAAGAAACCAAAAGCGACCAATTCTTTTTAAAATACATTATTTTAATGGTACATGTATTAAATAAAATATGTAAATAAAATGTTCCAAAGCACAATAATGAAATCATTCGTCTTTGTTATCTGTATTATAAACTATTCTGTGAACTGATAACACGATAAAATCAGCTGCTGTAAAAATGATGTAATTCTGATGGAAAATGTTTCCACAGAGTTATAAAACCGAACTATAAATATCAAACCATATTTGGTAATATTTAAGACATTTTCTCTAAAATTTCACAGGTTTTGAAAAATAAAACCGAAAGGAAGCTTTGAATTCACGCAACTTTTCTTTAGACCATCAAAAAGGATTCCATTAGAAATTCATGGGGGCATAAACTAATACGATATAAATACATAATCAAAAGCTCGATTAATTCTTTCTTGTAACAGCATCACAATACTATGCGTACTTGAGAAATGTGTGGGCAACACTAATGCACCGGTAGGGTGTAATGCCTTATTGGATATATTCATTCGGTGATAAATTACTTTCGACATTACTTTTTAGGAATAATTGGATGTTCATGGTCACATTTTTGATTAAAAGGTCATATACTATATTTTTTATTCCATTAACAACGAATTTTTGATATTTTTAAAATATAAAGTGTGTGATTCTGATCATCTGAATGACATATTGCTTTGATGGTCGCATGCGGAATCTCTGTCTACTGAATCATTTTATTTTATTTATTATAAAAGCTTGATTCCATACAGTATTTTGGTAAAAGTATGGAATTTTTAGCATGTGATATCGGAAGCCTAAATTGTACAGTATCTAATCAAAAAACGTTTGGGATTTGTAGCTGTCAAGATCAAGGAATGAAAAACGAATGAAAACTGGAAAATACGTGATGGAATTTAGACTATCTGCTCTTAGGCAGAATAACTAAAGGCGACCCCAACGATCAAACAGTGCTTTGTTATATATTCCTTTGGACATTAAATAACCAATTGAAAATTTAGTTTTAGTCATAAAGCCATAGTGGACAATTTGGAATGCATATCCAGAAGTTTTTTTTTAAAACCCTCAACTAATCATTTTCCTCCACGTTCTATGATAGGCTGGAAGAAAGTATTACGTTCAGTCAGAACTACTGTGCTAAAGTAAGTCTGCAGGTTTCCAACTTCTTCTTCTTATCCTTTTCTATTACAAACAGGAGTGGGTACACCATCCTCTGCTTATTCTTAATATTAAAGTAGTCCTAAGGACCATGTACTGTTTTAAATACTCAAGTACTCTGTTTAAATCTAGCAAAAGTTTCTTATTTGAAAAAAAATGTCTTCAAGATGTCCCTTTTTCATAAAATACGCCGTCCAATAAGCATTTACTGCCTTTTCGTGTAAAAATCTGCCTAAGATTTACGGGGACGCGTTGATGATACTGACCGAGGAAAGAAATGAGATGTAAAATCATTGATTTCTCACCTAAGTTCCACATACAGTGACGGAACAAACCCAATGGGGTTTTAAAAACCATGGACAGTGTTTAGCTATTGAGGTTTCACTCACAGTGTACCCGTATTTTGTTCTATGTATACTTTTTACTATACAATATTTGACTGTAATCTGTACAAACTAACTATCAGAAAGGTTACGCACCAACTAGCATTGATTTTGGAAGCATTGCGGAAACTTTGGGTCACTCTTTGGGAGCACTGTTGAATGCAGAAGCACATCTCAGACTTACTACAGAAAGTGGGAAATAACAAGGTTTTTCACAGTGGACCTGATGTTTACGCCCGAAAGTTTGTCTAGTGGACCCGGAGAGTTTTACTAGCTGAGAACGATATGTTTGTGAAAAACATTCAATCCAGAAGCATCAGTTCATTCAACAGATATTTATTATTCACACGCGAATAATAAACGTAAGCTGTCAGAAGATAACCTTTACTGCTGATTCTGACATCAGCAATTCTAATTTGGAAAACTAATAATCACAAATATCAAAGTCAAAATCTCCAAACTGAATACCTTTCGTCTATATTCATATTAAGGCAATGATAATAGTAGGCTGCTCTACCCCGCTTTTACTTTATGCAATATAAATATATGCAGAGATCTAATTTCTCTTTGAAAGCGTCCAATGATGGGAGTACGTACCAACTAGAAAACAATATCCTATATTCAATAACAAGCCAGACCTTACTTGAGCTAGATAAAAGGTACATTATTCAGCCACAGAGGGAAAAGTTGTGAAAACTATCATTGAAACTCGTAACATATTTTGCAAAACTGCGGCTAATCCTACCTAAAAACGGTGTGTAGTGCAGTAAAACAAACCATGTCTCATCGAATAAAAGTCAGTATGCATCAGTTGAATCCATCCTGTATCATCAACTGAGCTAATATATCTTTTTTCAGCTCTGGATTGGCAATTTAGGATAGCATCTAGTGTTTTTTTACGAGGTAATAAAACCAAATTTATTTCATCGCTCTCTTTAATTGACGCTGTGATGGCCGTCTCTAATCCCTGTTGAGCCTCTGTGTTTTTCTCTTTGCCTGCCATGGACTCTATGCAACACAACGGAAGTAACTGTCCTGCAGCTTAGCCATATATTATTCGTAGCATACTGTGACACTGTTGTGAGCACAGCTAGCCCTCTCCTCCGTTGGTCATCCTGTGCAATCGAAAAGACGGATAATAATTACGTGAAAGGCATCTTCGAACCAAGGGGAGCATTTCGACTTGCGTGTTACATTTGCTTAGCTATATAAAACTAGCATTTCTCTGGTGTTTCTGGTCAAAAGGTTGCAGAATTTACTGTAAATGTTTTGCCTTCAAACACGGAATCTGTGAATATCTTGTTGTCTATAAATACGTACAATCAGGTGTTTAGCATTTTGTGACTGTAACACTAATATCTATAACATTTTGTAATATTGGATCTACACACCCAGGTTGACATAAGTCAGTGGGTCTGTAGTTTTCATGTTATTTTTGGCAATTGTATTTAATGGTGATATAACTGCTACGGTTTCTGTTGTTGTCGCCGCCTTTCCTTTCGTGACTTTTTCCCTGTTGTTATTCTGATTGTTTTATTTTTCCTGATTCTGAAGAAAGCAGCCCAAAAGGTTGCTCCTCTGTAACTTAAAAATCTATGTAACAACTACCTCTTCAGTCGTGTGGCTAGCACCCCCACTCTGTGAACAAAACTGCTACAGTACGATGGTTTTCCTTGCAAAGAAAGAAAAAGTTCGTGTGAGGATGTGGCACGTCTACACTATGTATGACACTGGCGAAGCTCCCCAGGTTGCAAATAAGATAAACAAATGCGGTATTCAAATACTGTGAGCACGTGAAAGCAGATGAAATGGCAGTTGACTCACAAAATTTTCAACGGGAGAGTCAGTGATCCACTCTGGTCACCCAGAAAACAACCAAAAGCACAGTGAGGATATGGCTATCATGATGCCAACAACGGCAAGGAAGGCATTTAAATCCCAATGAGAGACATGAACGCCAAAGTTGGACCGGATAGCGCAGGAGGAGAACTCATAATAGGTAGAGGAGCCGTTGATGAAATGAATACAAATGGAGAACACTTCGCTGACTTGCGTGCCTTCAACGAACCTGTGATCGGTGGCAGCGCACACAACCACAAGAACCTCACCCCACGGGAGAACTAAAAACCAAATCGACATCATTCCAGGCTGGAGGTATTGGAGATGTAGACTCCTGGAGACAAAAGCAAGAAGATGAGCGGACGTCGGTTCAGACCGCTATCTCGTCCAATGATCACTCCAGATCAAATTCAAAACTTTCGAAGAAACAGTAGCTTTTGAGAGACGGCAAGTCATTACTCAAAAGCTGAAGAATTAGGTTACAAAAGACATCATCACTGCAATCAGAAGGAAAAAGGCGGAGACACAGATCAACACTAGTGAAGAGACCAGCGTTGAAGATCACTGGAACAACCTAAAAGTGTGCGGAGTCAATCCTGCATGGATTTTCTAGCCATAAAGAAGCGGCAGGACAAACAGTGGCTCACTGCAGACACATGAGACTAATGCAAGAGAGAAGGATGGTGAAACAAAAGATCATCCAATGCATCGATGAGCAACAAAAACAGGAGTTGAATGCAAGCTGCAATATACTGTACAGAAGAGTAAAGAAGAGTACCAGGGAAGACGAAAGATAATATTATGAGACTATGGCAAGTTAATCAGATGTAAATGCATGCAAAAGTAACCTCACAACACTCTACCAAACATCTGGGTTCCTATCGGGGAAGAGATCAACACAAATTAAGCGAGTGGAGGATGAAAATGGAAAAGCAATCACTAAATAGGAACTACTGGTGTCAATGGACGTGAACATTGAACGTTTGTTTTTGGAACTGATAGCCATTGGTGTGCAACTTGAAGGCGCGAATGGTTCGATCGTGTACATGTTCGACGAAGATGAACGAAAACGAATAAAAGTACATAATAATTTCGCATAAAACATTTGTTTATAGGCTTCTATTATTCTCCGCTTTAACTGACAAACAGTATAACTTCCTTATTACAATACTGGTGTTTTGGAGTTAAAGTCGAAGAAAGTACATGGTATTTATCGGTTCGGAGCGTCTTCGTAACAATAGGAGCTTAGGGATATGTTCCTTGACAACTGGACTTAACGATTCAAAAGACTTCTAAATTGACCACCAGCTACAATGCGCCCAGCAATGCCAACAGCGGAAGCAGAAGTATCAGTGGATATCAAGTCTCCGTCGAGAACAGAAATCCTGAAGGCCATCAAGATCCTAAAAACTGGAGAAGCAGTAGAAGCATTGAGAATGAACCCCGAGACATTAGCCGAATTGACGACAGCACTACTAAAGAAGGTGTGGGTAAAAAGCAAAGTACTTGCTTATTGGAGGAAAGGCCACCTTTTCAAAGTGCCAAAGAAAGGGGACTTCAGTCAATGCAAAAACTGACGGAGCGTTATGCCCCTGCCTATCCCCAGCAAACTACTAAGCATCCTGGAAAGAACGAAACACTCCCTGTATGGAAAACTTCGACTGGAACAGGCTGAATTTATGTATCGATCAAATCGCAACACCACGGGTCGTCACTTCATCGACTTTGATAGACCTTCGATAGCATTGATCGAGAGGTGATTCGGTAACCGCTTTGCTACTAAGAGGTGCCGCACACAATTATACATCTCATCCAGCAGTTGTACGATAATGCTGTGTGCACAACGGGATATTCACGGAATCCTTCGAAGTGAAGACAGGAGTAAGACAAGGCTACCTACTATCTCCAATGATTTTCCTGATTGCGGTAAACTGGATAACGCGACAGACAGCGGCGGCCAACGAAGTGACAGGCGTAAAATGAACTCACACAAAAGAGCTTGGAGGATCTGGACTTCACCGATGATATATGTCTGATTTTCAACAAAACGGAAGATACGCAAGCGAAAAGCGACAATTTAGCAGAAGAGGCATCCAGAGAAAATATGCCTTCAGATGAACATAGACAAAACAGAGGTGATGAAGATTCCTGGTCAACAGCAATAGCAGCAACAACAACAGGCAACAATCAACACAATTGGGGAAATCTGAAAGAAGTGGCCTCCTCTACTACCTGGGAAGCATCGTTCCAACTACAGGCGGAACTGACGAGGATATCAAGGAGTGGATCGGGAAAGTGAGGCGAGCTCTCATTACTTTCAAGTTTGTGTGAAGATCAACAGTACTCAGCATGGAAAATAAGACCCGGATTTTTAAATCCATTGTGAAGTCAGTGCTACTATACGGAACAGATGACTGGAGCTGCGTCACGGACGCCACATCCAACAAACTACAGACATTTGTCAACTGCTGCCTTTGCTCACTATTCAAGATAAGATGGCAGGAGTAGAGGAGCAACAGGGATCTCTTGGAGTGAACCAACCCAGCAAGGACCAATCGTGCAACAAATATGCAGGAAGAAATGGAGGTGGATTGGCCATACTCTGTGAAAACAAGTCATTAAGTGACACGCCAGGCTCTCGAGTGGGAAGCGTTGAGTTGGTCGTGGGTGCGAGGGTGACGTGGAGGTGGTTGGAAGAAGAGATGAAATCACGTAAGCAGATGTGTAGTAAGGTGAAAATGTTGGGAGAGAACCGAACAAAATGGAGACGTGTTATTGAATCCTTGTTTTACTCTATGAACTAAAGCAAACAATAACAAAACACTAAATAATGGTATCTTCCGTTCATACAGCTTTTTCACTCCATTATACTTAATCTCTCTAATCACCTAGTTGTTTTGATAGATGCATTTATACGTATTTATTTGTGTATTCATATATTAACGATTTTTGAGGTCCTTTTAAAATTTGATTAGTGACTCACATTTCACTGCACAAACGCAACATAGTATTTAACTTTTGATGAAATTAATGGGATGTGGGCACTCAGAAATGCCTACTAGTCCCTGAACTTTGTTCTGGGAGTGATTGTGAGTTCCACCACCCCGCTTTGTTTCCAGCTATACGATTTCTACCTAGTGAAATTTTTAATTCTTAACCTGCACTCGATTTCAAAGGAACATGCTGGTTGTCTCTTTCTGCTTGGGTCTCATATAGACGCTTAGATTCCCGTCTCTGCGGCCTACTTTTTCGCAACACGACCTCTATATGGGATCGCATTTCGACCTCAACTGTTTGGTTCTTTCAATTTTGAGGAGGGCCTTTGCTACAGCTGACTGTAGAAAGCTTCTGATAACTCGATTATGGATAAGATTTTATTTTGATAAATCACAGTGTTGTACAGTAATATTAACTGATGACGTTTTGAGCACAAACTATTGCTCATAATCATATCAAGTTTCTTACACAACTTCTTTTCTTCATTTGTACACATGTGTGGAATCGATTAGATACTGGACTAAAAATCAGCATTATCTTATGTTGATTTTTAATCTTATCCATAATGGAGTTACACTCTACCGCAGTTCCCAAGTTTCATACTTATATCAATTCTGGTAACTCCGACAGACTAAATACCTTGCTCTTAATTCACGGTCCTTAAACCTTTTCTGTAATAGATCTAGGTTCGGTTTTCCAAGTCTGCGTCATAGTTTCGTTGTGTGAAATGTATTTATGCTTGCTACTGGATGAATTTAATACTCCTGCAGTACGAAACTGCCCACAACTCACACTTCGGCTTTTTTGTGTAACTCATCCAAATACAACC